AATGACCTGTCATGGCCTAAATAGAGTTCAGTTTGTGACAGAGTTCCTGTCCTCTCATCAGGCCTGTCTGAGGCCTGCTTCGAGGCAGTAAATCTTGTTTCTTCGCTCGAGGTGACCCCTACAATTGATTAGAATTGACCAAATTGGGTTCTTTATTCCCCAATTGAAACCTAGAAAATTGCAAAAAAAATTTCAATAAGGGAAACCTGCAAAACTTTTAAAGTTCTGGATCTAGATTAATTTACATCCATTTCCAGCAATAAATCTGACTACTTTATTTGTTTAATTAAAGTATTCAGTGTTTAATTTATTGTTGAGCAGGTAAAGGAAAATCTTTTTGGCCCTCAGGTCCTTCTGACTTTATGATTTTGGCCCATGTGGAAAAATATTTGGACCCCCCTGTGTTCAGCCCAAACCCTCAGTTTTCTACTTTAATGAGTCTAAGTTCTTTTAATTAAACACAGACATGTTCAGTATCTACAGAAACATCTGAACCTTGGCTACAAGCTGATAAAAACATTTTTATAAACATCTAAGACAGTTAAAACTACAAGCAGTTGAAGATAAAACTATGAAAATAAAATAGGTTTAAAATTTGTCAACTCAGAGATGTTAAAATATTATTTGTGTCAAATAAGAGGCAGAATGTGTTCTTTTTGTTTTTGATATTGTTTAATTATCACTAGTTTATATGGTTCTGTATGTTGTATTCATGGTTAAATACAAGAGAATAAACCGTTGGCTGCAGCAGCTACATGTTGGACTGTTTGCTGTTTTTGCTGCAGAGTTTGGACAAAGTGGACGAGCAGGTTCAGCGGGTGGGCGTCACAGCCAGTAAGATCCCAGACGATGTCCTGGACCGGGCGGAGCAGCTGGGCGTCGGCCTGGCCCACTTACTGCTGAGCAAAGGAGCCAAGGAGATCCTGACGGTGGCCAGACAACTGAACGACGCCAGATAATCTGCCCGACTTTTAAGGCTCCATCTTTGTTTCTAACGTTTGCTCGTCCTCTGAGGTCGACTTGATTAAATTAAACTGTGTCTTGCTCCAGAAGAGAATTATTAAAAGTACTTGAAGAAAACTTGTGCTCAGACATCCCTCCTGACTGTGGGTCTGTGGGAGGATGGGCACTCTCAGCAGCGTCATCGTGTTCAAACCATCAACCAAAATAAACATGTTTCCTCCCAGCAGCTAAAACTGAATCTAAAATGTTTGTTTTTGGAGCCAAATACCTGCCTGAATACCCTCTAACAGGCTGTGACACTGTCAATCACAATGTAACATGACACCTTCCTTAAAGGGGCGGGGCCTAAAGCCTGAACTGCAGGCAGCCTGGTGGGGTGGAGGGGCTCATCTGTTGGCTTCAGTCTGCAGTAGAGATGCACCGATATGAAAACTTCAGCTGATATTAATACAACTGTTGCTGTTAGGGCCGATAACTGATATTACACAAACACACAGATTATATTCTACATAAACACACAAACACACAGATTATATTATACATATACACACAAACACACAGATTATATTAAACATAAACACACAAACACACAGATTATATTAAACATATACACACAAACACACAGATTATATTAAACATAAACACACAAACACACAGATTATATTATACATATACACACACAAACACACAGATTACATTATACATATACACACAAACACAAATTATATTAAACATATACACACAAACACACAGATTATATTAAACATAAACACACAAACACACAGATTATATTAAACATATACACACAAACACACAGATTATATTAAACATAAACACACAAACACACAGATTATATTATACATATACACACAAACACACAGATTATATTAAACATAAACACACAAACACACAGATTATATTATACATATACACACAAACACAAATTATATTAAACATATACGCACAAACACACAGATTATATTAAACATATACACAAACACACAGATTATATTATACATAAACACACAAACACACAGATTATATTATACATAAACACACAGATTATATTATACATATACACACAAACACACAGATTATATTATACATAAACACACAAACACACAGATTATATTATACATAAACACA